CATTATCAATGAACTTTATTGTATTTTTTGCTATTCTATATGTATCATCCCAATTCATGTCCCATAAAATTCTTTTTTTTTTCAGTTTTTCAGTTTTTTTTTTTTATTGTTGCTTACATTGTATTATGTAGTACAGTTTTATAGGCGCTGGGGATTCCCATAAAATTCTTATGAGAATGAACTGCTATCCCCAATTCTTGAGATGGGGAAATCAAGCTTAGTCTGGTATTTGAAAATGAGGATGCTTAGTCTGGTCTGACCCCACCCCAGCTCATCCTCTCCAGTGGGAGTAGCTGTCCAGCAAAGGAACCACCCCTTATTCCTCTGCCGGCTCTGGCCCCCTCCCTCCCTGGTTCGGTGCTGCAGTCACTTCTGTCACAGTCATCCTCACTTTGGCATTCCATATTGTGCACTAGTTTTTGTTGCGACTGAATCCGGCTCGACCCACACTGTTCTGGTGCCTGGATTTGCCAGTGGATGATGTGAACTGATTCAGCCTGGTCTTCCCCCGATCCATGCCAATTGTATGCCCCTGAGTAATTTTCCATGGCCTGTTCTAGGCTGTTTCCTATCAGGTTTCTTGCACTTACATTCCAGGTCTGTGTCCTGCCAGAGGAATTGCCCAGGCTCCTCCATCAGAACCTCTCCCAATGCCAGGTTTCACGCTTCCCAGGGGGTCCATGAGCCAGCCCTACTCAGTTCACCTCCTGTCCTAGCAGGAATAGTGGCTTTTCCTGACTGGTCTTCAACCCAAAATGGTCCTTGCTGTTGGATGTTTCAGCCCAGCCATGGCTCATCCATACACACATGGCTCACACCTGCCTCGGTAGGGGTTGAGACCTTGCCTAGTCCATCCCACAACTACCCTGGTCCTCCAGGACACTAGAGGGTGCATTCAATCCCAGTCCACATTTGTGCCAAGGGAGACTACAACCATTTCCCGCTCAGAACACAGCCCCCATTCCAGCCCACACGCCCCTTGGTGGGAACCTCAACCCAGCTAGGGTTGTCCCCTTAGCTCCCCAACCCCACCTATTCCCAGCCATAGATCATGCGCATGCCAGTGGATGCTCTGACTCAGCTTGGCTCAGCCCCTCACCTGTCCCGACCTCTGCCTTAGACACTGTGGCTTAGAGTTCCTGGCTCACACAGACCAGTAAGTACAAGAGCCTAGCTCGGCATGACCTGTGCTCCATCCTGGACTCTAGTTTTGCTTGTGGGCTAAGGTTTGCTCAGTCCTGCCCAGTCCACCCTGTTCCATTACCAATAGACACATTAGCCATCTCTTGGAGCTACTTTTCCCAGTTTGTCCGACCCCCAGGTCTGGACCACATGTTCACCAGTAGGAGCTATGATTCACCAAGGGAGTTTTCCAAGTTCCTCCACTTAATCCACTCCCAGACCTAGTTCTCATACATGCCATTAGGTTTAGGCCAGGTTCTGGCGAAGTCTGGCCTTCCATTTGGCCTTGTATGAGCTGGTGAATGTTGCAGCCTGGCCCACCCCACACCCTATTCAGGATGCACATTTGTGTGCTGCTGCCCTGACCAGTCCAGACTGTTGTGGGTTCCTTTACCTGTGACTGATGGCAGGCTCCTTGGTCACACCTAGCTTAGTCCTTCACCACCCCATCTCTTGAGATAACCAGTGGGGCTAGAATTTCCACAGGGTTTGGCCCACACAGCTGATTGGGGCAATGGACTGTGCTGGGCCCTGTGCTTGCTAGTACATACAAGAATCTGGTCCAAGAACACCTCAGACAAAGTTTCTTTGGAGATTTCCCCAATCGTAATGCTGGACTCAGAACCCTAACCAAGAAGAGAGAAGACAGAACAGGTCAATCAACCATCTCAGGTATATGTTGGCAGCAAAATACAGGGCAAATGGAGACTCTATGATGGACTATGTCAACCAGTGGATTCTTCAAAGACCTTATAGTGCTTGGAGTGGCAAGATTGGCAGCGATTTATAACTGAACTATCAAAACCACTTGAGCAAGAACCTTGGAGCATACCCTACATCTGGGACCTGGGGAGGATGGGAAATTGGGTGGGCCCTCTTCCTTAGTACCCCCCTTTTAAACATGAAGGAAACAATATGGAAAAAAAAACCCAAAACAATTATGCTATTTTGCTACACACTTAAATATAAGTTCTTAAAAAAATAAAATAAATTATAAAAATAAAGAATATGTTGAACATTTTGGAGAAACTTTATATCCTTTCTTGACCTGGGCACTTATGAGAAACAGTTATTATCGTACTCCGTGAAGATGGATTATTCTCCTAAGACCAGAAATAAGCCCACATGTTTGAATATTTCTAAATTCAATTGTTTACATTGAATATGCAAAGCTTGTTGTAAGTTAGTTACTCTTGGACAAAATTGTTTCCAAAGACTTTAGGTTACAACAGGTGTTAGGTATGTGAGCATATTAGAACTCTCGCATACTGTGGCCACTGGCGGAAAATACTGCTGGCAGTTTACGTGATTAAATGTTTTTTTTATGATAGTTCTACTCCAAAGTATATACCCTACAGAAATGAAAACATGTGCACATAAGAGCTTATGTTACTCACTTTATTCCCAATATGCCAAACTGGAAACCAAAATTTCCATGAACTGGTGCATGAAGAAAATATGGTATGCTCAAAATGGAATATCACTCAGCCACAAAAAAGGATTGGTGGGCTGCTATGCTACTACAGGAATGAACCTATAGAACATGCTAAGTGAAAAGTCAGTAACAAATAAGTTTTTTCATAAAACTTTTTCATTCAATTCTGATTTGCAGGAATGAGGACAGAACTGGAGGGCATGTTAAATGAAGTAAATCAGCCACAGACAGACCAATGCCACAGATTCTCATGTACCCACGGGAGCTAAAGCTTATCTCAAGTAAAGAGTAAACGGCAGTTACAACAGTCTGAGGGGGACGTGCAGTGAGAAAAGAGGAATGGAGAGCATGGTTCATGAGTGCACAGTGCAGTTAGACAAGGCGAGTGAATTTTAACATCTGTAGCACGATGTCAATTATTGCGCCATTTGAATATTTCAATAGCTAGTAGAGACTAAGATTTCCAAAGGAGAATGTCGGATGTGATGTGAATTACTAATTTGATCATTACATGTGCTTAAATGTATAATTCATGGGGTACACTGTAACAACTATTTTGATGACAAATATACGAATAAATTATGAAGGTTTTAGGACACTAAGGACAGAAACAAGGTATTGCTATAATTTTCTGACATACAAAGCAGGCACCACTACCCTATGGTGTAAAAACTACCTGCTAAAACAATTGACACTCATAGGAAAATCATGTGTATACAAGTGTTAGTGTATTGGATTGTAGAGCTAAAATTAACACTGTATAAATTTAGCTATTAACTGAATAAAGTGAATTTGACTTCATAATCTTTATAAACCTTAAATATTAAAAATGGGACTTCTCAAACATTTTACTGAAGGAATATGAAATAAACACATAAAACGTAGCTCATCATTCATCATACAATTCACATTAAATCAGTTACTGGGATGGTCAAAGTGGAATAAGGAATGACATTATGGGATTGAAAGGCAAGACCAATGCACAGAATGATGTGAATGGATTTCAGGGGCTGTGTAAGTCTAAGAGACCCGATACAAAATTGTGTCATTATATTTATATAATGTTTTAGGACAGTAAATTCAATCCACAATTAAAACTCATTGTGATCATTTCGATAAAGACTGGGCTGTTAACCATAGCTTCTTTCCTAGCTTATTCGACTCTTTTTTTTTTAATTAACATTGTATTATGTGATAGTTTTATAAGCACTGGGGAGTCTCCCCACCCCTCCCACACCCCTCCTCCCATAGTGGATTGCTCCATCTTGCTGCATAACCACAGTTCAAGTTCAGCTTATTCGACTCTTAACCCCTGAGTTAAAGGCCTGTCAAGAAGGCTCTGGTTCTAGACTCAGTGGGAGGGACTGTTCAAATCAGAGCCCTTGAGGTCTCAAACCTGGGGGGCTTCCCAGCGGCAGACACCTCATTTTTATGAGTTTGCTCAAGAGGTCAGATTGCATCGAGTTCTCCATTTTATCTCCAGGAGAGGAATCTGTCCATTCTTAAGAGTTGAGCCTGCAGAGAACCTTCACATGATCAGTTTTAGAGGGCAGGAAAGATCTGATGACACTTTACTCCTGTACCTCACACCCAGATGTGGTTGGAGATTTTTGAAGAAGTTGTCTTTCCTATTCATGAAGGCATAAATGAGAAGGTGGGTCCTGGGACATTGCTCCCTCTCAAAACTGAGTAAGAACACTAACTAGCTAAAAGCCTATTTGTTTTGGCTTGGCTGTTGTCTCCTTAGATGTATGTTTCCTCCAACAGTGAGTAGCATGAAAGCAGGACTTTTGATATAACCAAGTCCACGGCCCCTAGATTTTAGTAAGAATATTTGGTTTGTAGCATATGATCAGTAAGATAAACACCCATCTTCTGGAGAACCTACACGGACTTAATGGCTTATTCCTCTATCCAGTAGATTGTTTACTCCCAGTTATTGCTTTGTTGTTGTTTATGGCCAATTGCCGAGTTTTTGTCTCTGCCTTTGCTCGCTTCTGTGTGCTTCCCAGTCAGACTCAGCTCGTGAGAGAGGTACCTTAATTTCCTCAGAATTCTCTTTGCTTGTGGGTGCGGACTATTTTTCTTCAGACCAGTAGCTGTATCTTTTCTATTTTACCAGGTCACCTGGAAAATAAGCTGATGTTAGCAGAATCAGACTCCCTGGGAGGCCACGATGACCTTGGTAGCTGTCTTTCCCAGTAGACATGGGACACTCCAGCTTTTATACTATGTCTACACCATACATGGGGGATACCAGATGGTTCCCTATTTGCTTGGTTAGGATACTGCTGAGGATGGTTTCTATCACAGTGGGAGCAAGTCTCTTCAAAATTGCCTAAGGCTTAGAGCAGATAAGGTTCTCAGGGTGGAGTTGAGGGTTTTATGAGTCAGCAGGGCTCTGTTTCAGCAGCCGGAGAGCCCCATCCCGTATCTGCTTGGTCTTAATGCCATAGATGATGGGGTTGAGCATAGGTGGTACAATGAGGTAGAGGTCAGCCAGGAGAATGTGGATGTGTTGGGGCACATGCTGGCCAAAGCGCTGAGTATAGAATGAGAAGAGCCCCGGGGTGTAGAAGAGAAGGATGACTCCCAGGTGGGAGCCACAAGTGCCAAAGGTCTTAGCTCTTGCCTCCTTGGAGGTAAGGCCAAACACGGCCCGGAGGATGAGTGCATAGGAGACAGCAATGCAGATGGAGTCAGTGCCCACCACTAGTGTGGCAGCAGTGATGCCATATATGTTGTTTGGTTTCGTGTTTCCACAAGCCAGCTTCACCACAGCCATGTGCTCACAGTAGGAGTGTGCTACCACCCGACTGCAGTATCTCAGCCTTGCCAGCAAACAGGTGAGTGGGGTCATGAGACCCAGGCCACGAAGCACAGCTGCAGCCCCCAGCTTGCCCACAGACTCTGGGGGTAGCAATGTCCCATAGTGCAGGGGCCGGCAGATGGCTAAGTAGCGATCAAAAGCCATTGCTAAGAGGATACCCGATTCTACAGCTGAGAAGCCATGGATAAAGAACATCTGGGCAGCACAGGCACCAAAGGCAATCTCAGAGGCATTTGCCCAGAAGAGCCCAAGAAGCTTGGGTACAGTGGTGGTACAGAGCACTAGGTCAATGGCAGATAGCATGCATAGGAGCAGGTACATGGGCTGATGCAGTGCAGGCTCTGATCGTACTACCAGCAGCACTGCCATGTTGCCAAGCACTGCCAGGGCATACATGGAACAGAAGGGAAATGCAATCCAAAAGTGGGATGACTCCAGGCCAGGAATTCCTACGAGCAGGAAGGAAGTAGGGTTCTGATGGCTATGGTTTGTGGGTTGCATGGCTAGGAGGTGAGTAGGGAAGACCTCGCTGCCTTGCTCTGAGCTCTAGGAAGTCCTGAGAGATGAGGCGGCAGGGATTCACCATCATGTGTTTGAAAGGCAGCAGGAAACATGCGCATGAGGCATTGTGGAAAACATCAAGGACAAGCTTTTAGACCTCTGGGAAATAAAGTAAGGACATGTTACCATTACTGCGTCCTAGGCAGTCCTTTCTGACTCAGTGGTGTCCGGGCTGTGGTCTGGAGGCCGAGTAGTTGCAGGACCTTCCCCCTTCTGAGTGCTGACCAGTCACTGACATTGTGCACATCATATTTTTCCTTTCTGTTTCATCATCCTTTCCTTCTGTTTCCTGTTTTCTGGATACTCTCCTCCTTGAATTTTCACCACCCATCCTGAGCCCAAGCCTCAGAGGATTTTGTTTGTGGTGGCTGAAGAATCAGGCAGACACCGTACCTGCAGTATCAGGATACATTTAAATAACACAATGGGTATTTGATTATGCAGAACCACACTACTGTAATTACATAGGGGAAATCACTAAGGGGAGGAAATTTGGGGAGGGGGTGAGGGAAACACCAGAGCCTATGAAATGATAGTTGTATCATGAAATTAAAGAATTAGGGACAGAGATTGAGAGTTGGGGGCAGGGTGAACTTGTGAAGTGTTATAGTGAAGAAGTCCCAGGGCTCAGTGCAATGGCTCAGTGGCTAAATACTCATCTTGCATATGCTGGGATTTTGTGTGGGTGTCGGTTCACATCCTGGCTGCTCCACTTCCCATCTAGCTCCCTGCTTGTGGCCTGGCAAAGAGGTAGAGGATGGCCCAAAGCTTTGGGAGCATAAGTACATGTGGGAGACCCAGAATCAGCCAGAATCCTGGCTTTGGATCGGTTCAGCTCCAGTCATTGTGGCTACTTGGGAAGTGAACGAGCAGATGGAAGATCTTACTTGGTCTCTCCTTTTCTGTAAGTCTGCCTTTCCAATAAAAATAAATTTTAATGTCATTTAATAAATGAACACTCTGGTTGACTGAGCATGTGATCGTCTCTAGACAGTCTGTGCAAAATGCAAAGCTTACTCCTAAGACAGACACACTGACATGCATTTCTGGAGTGCCCAAGCTCCAATATTCTTTTTCTGGTGTGGAGAACAATGAGCTAAACAAGCAGACACGAATGGACAGCCATGCTTTTCCCTACCCCTTTTCCATCCTGTTATAAATCTGAGCTACTACTCAGCTTTTTTTCCATCTCTGGTCTAGAGGCCATACAGAATAATGACCACAAGCTCCTCTTGCATCTGACCTTTTCACACAGATGGGAAAATGAAGTTTGAAGAGCACATAAGAGTACCATATGCGCAGATTCTAGGAAACATGACAAGACTGAATTCTAAGCCTTGGATTCTCACTTTCTGGCTCTCCCGTTAATATTTAAGAGGGAATACATGAACACTCAGGATGAGATCACACAGAATTTAGAAAATCACGTAAGACAGGAGGTGGATTACCATCATTAGGCTTCAAAGGTGTTGTCACCAACTCCATCTGCTTTAGTTCTGGGGGTGAGCAACACATTTGCAGAACTCTCCAGGGTGAAAGGAAATAGCCAGAGATCCTCACAGCCTTCTTCACTGTCCATACTCTGATGTTATTCTCAAGCTCAAATCATTTCCTTTCCAAGATCAGGTAGAAAAACTACCACTGGCCTCCAGGACTCTCCCAGTATAACAACTATTTCATGGCTCTCATCTCTCTACCATGTTCTAAGTTATTCAGTTTTTAGAAATCTTACAAAAAATAGGATATTTTCAAAATGTCGTGGGAAGTGAGTTAAAAGATGTTTACTTTGGTATCAAAAAACCTGAAGTCTGTGCCTAGCTTTTCCTAAGAATTTTCCATGCACTTTGAGGACCCTTTGTGTGTGAGCATGGAAGCTCCAGCTCCAGGAGCAGGGCTGTCTCATGCAGTGAGGATGAAGCTCTTCATCTTCAGAGGTACTCAGGAGCATCTGGGATCTACCTGCCAGGTATTTAGCACCCGTTAATGGGGAACATCAGCAGTGGAAGCCCAGTTCTAAATCTGGATTTATAATTCAACAACTCATCATGGTTAAGTCCCCTAAACCTTAGCTTGCTTCCTGCTTTGACCTGGAAAGCTTGTCTCCAGTCCATGGCACACAGCAGGGGTCACAAATTCATTTTTAATCCCTTTAATGTGAGAACACACCTCAGGAAGAAAATTATCTTATTGGCAGTCAGATCTATGGTCTGTTCAGAGTGTCCATCAGAGGGTCGAGCACACAAACTTACCATGCTTGGGGCACTGAGTGACAGGGCAGTCTCAGGTCATGCAGGGCTTAGAGAGTGTGCAGAAGATGATCTCGAGTATTTATGCTATTTAGGCCCATAGCCTAGATAGTGATTCCCCACAGATGAGGACACTTAAAGAGACCTCTGGGATGCTGCGAAGAGTCAGCAAATCAAAGCTAGGAATTGGGACCTTGACTGGGGAGAGAGGGAGATAGGATAGCAGAGAAGCCAGAGAATTCAGTGTGGGTACTGTCTGTTTTCTGTTACAAAAATAGGTACTGTGGGCTTGGTAAGAAGACAGATTGGGCTATGGTTCTGGAGACTCAAAAGTCCAAGCCCAAGGGGCCCCATTTGGTGATGGCCTCATTATGACAGAGTGAGAGGGCAAGTAAGCACATGTTAAGCATACCAACATGGGGCTCAGCTCCTTTCTATTAGGACCTGCTGCCCTGACAGCAACAGCATTCATTGATCAATGTGGGTAGAGCCTTTGTGGTCTAATCACTTTAAGGATTTTTATTTGAAAGTTAGCCGCAGAAGAGGAGAGAAAATCTATCCACTGGTTCACTTCCTAAATTGTTGTAACAGCTGGGCTGGACCAGGCTGAAGACAGGAATACAGAGCCTATGCCAGGTGTCCCACGTTAATTTCCCAAGCACAGGAGCAGGGAGCAGCAGAAGCAGAGCAACCAGAATGAGAGTGAGTGCCCATATAGGATGCCAGGATTGCAGGCAGAGGCTTAAGCTGCTATACCACAATGCTAGCATCCCCCACCCCATTTTTGGTTAGTTTTTCAAGATTTGAAGGTTTGAGTGGAAGTGGAATCCTCCCATATGGCCGGAGCCCGAGCACTTGGATCATCTACTGCGTTTTGCAAGCCATTAACAGGGAGGTGGACCGGAAATGGAGCAGTTGGGGTATGAACTGATGTCCATATGGAGTGCTGATGACTCAGTTGTACGCACTATGCCACAACTCGAGCCTCAGCCAATTCTGTTTCTTCACAAACGTGCCTAGAATATGTTAGAGGATACCATATTCATTAAAAAGTGTTGGAGAAACTGAGTACATACACAACAATGTAATTAGATTGCTACCTCTCACCATATAAAGCCAACTGGATATGAGTCAGAGACCTAAATGTAAGACATGAAACAATGAAATTGTTATAACAGAAAACTCTACAAGACATTTGTGTATCCAATAGTTTTTGGGTATGACTCTCAAAATGAAGGCAACAGAAACAAATCTAGATGAATGGGGTTACAAACTCAGATGCTTCTGCACGGCAAAGGAAATAAGTAGCTTATGGAATATTTCTGTCAATGTCTCTCATCTCACAAAGCATTTATATTCCAAATGTATCAGGACTTCAGCAAAATTATAAACCAATTCAGTTAAGACATAGGTTAAGGATCTGGACAGTGCAATTGAGCAGAAGTGGCCAATATGTAAAAATGTTCAATATTTCTAGCCATCTTGGAAATGCAAATTAGAACCAGGTATCATCCCATCCCTATTAGAATAACTTATCCAAGAGTAATAAATGCATGAGAGAACATGGAGAAAGAGGAACTCATACCATTGACCAAGTAGAAAGCAGCATGGGTATTTGAAAATTAGGAGTAGAACGTCCATATAAACTCAACAATCCCACTACTGGGCATGTATCGCAAAGACACAAAATCATTGCAAGGAAGTACCTGCTCCATGTTTACTGCAACAATGTTCACAATAGTCTAATCAACCAAGGTTCCATTACCATATGAACGGATACATTAAATGCAACAGGCATAATGAAATACTGTTCAAAGATTGGCAGCAAAATAAGTACACATCTTGCTAAATAAAAACACATAGCTGTTCTCCATCACATGTGGGAGCTTAAAGAAAGCTTCAATTTGAGCACAGAATGAAGATCACAATCCCTAGAGGTTTGGAGTTTGAGGGATAGAGTGGATTTGGGTAACAGGTACCAAATCAGAGTGATTGAAGTTCCTAGTATTACACAACAAGGTTGGGCAACTATAGTTCCCAGGAATATAATATGTTAAATAGAACAAATGGAAGAAAACTTAAGCCTTGAATCAAGTAATGTCAAAGAAGGAATTATATTATCCTACTTTAACATGGTTTACATGTATTAATAGTTTAAGAGCCAATATGTCAGGATAAATTCAAGAGATCTGTTCTACAACACGGTACTCAATGTATTATGTTTTTGAAAATTGCTAAGAGTTGTGTTATTACAGAAAAGTAAAGAGATAATACATAGAATAGTTTGACTTGCTGTCACAAGGTATGTGTATTTCAGAATAATTTGTGCATGATAAATGTATATTGATTAGGGAAAATCAGGAAGTGATAGAGAAAATAAGATGGGATAGAAAACATGGGATGAACGAAGGTATCCAATTATGGAAAGAAAATATATAAACACAAAAGTTCACTATAAGGTGGCTAAGATGGGCATTTCAGATGATATATGAATAAGGATTTTAAAACTTTTTAAAAGGCAGAAACAGGAGAGACTGATTTTACATCTGCTGGTATACTTTCCAGAGGACTACAATAGCCAAGACTGGGTCCAGGCTGGAGCCAGGAGCCTGATCTCCCATCCAGGTTTTCCACATGGATGCCAGAGGTCCAACAGTTTGGACCATTCTCTGCTGCTTTTCCAGGGATAGAAGC